GTATCTAATACCGCAGTTCAAAATATATGAACTTCATATATTTCATTGTATCTGATTTATCACTTTCACGGGTTTATTACGAATCAACTTAACGGCCTGCTCCCAGTTGGCTTGTTAGCTCAATTGGTAGAGCGCTGCACTAGTATCGCAGAGGTCAGTGGTTCGAATCCCGTACAGGCCTGATTTTTTTTCAGGTCTGATTTTCGCTATTGCTTAAATAGCGCTATCTACTGCGAGGATCGTGCATCATACGTATCTAATACCGCAGTTCAAAATATATGAACTTCATATATTTCATTGTATCTGATTTATCACTTTCACGGGTTTATTACGAATCAACTTAACGGCCTGCTCCCAGTTGGCTTGTTAGCTCAATTGGTAGAGCGCTGCACTAGTATCGCAGAGGTCAGTGGTTCGAATCCCGTACAGGCCTGATTTTTTTTCAGGTCTGATTTTCGCTATTGCTTAAATAGCGCTATCTACTGCGAGGATCGTGCACCATATGTAGTTTGTATGTAGTTGGTAATATTCCTCAGGGCAGTTTTACGTACCAGCTCAGCTCTTTTGTGACTTTCCGCCACTAAGCTTGAAATTAAAAAAACCTACCCAGGCTCTACACTGTTCAAGTATTGCGAAAGAAATTATTTTAATATGTTTGATATCAGTTGACTCGAGGTTGCAAATAGGTGACGCCTGAATATTCTCTAAATGCAGCGTTTATGGAGCGACTGAATTCGGCAACAAATTCTCCTGATAGCAGATATTATGAAATTCTAAAGCTTTTACATAGCGTTTGTTCTTTGTTACCTAAAAATTAAAGAGCACCAAAGCAGAAAGGTTTATCAATAATGTATTTCTTTCAAAACCGTAAATCCTTACATGATATTTCTGAAAGACCCTTTTGTCAGCAAATTTCGCAATTCAGTCGCATCTCTCTTATAACAGAGTTTAAATGGCGCCTGTCTTCAAAAATCTCCCTTTTTTTATTCTCTACTGAAAAACTCTGTATCGGAGTATTGCCTCCAGCAGTCAATTCAAGTTACTGGCTGTTTTCTCAGAAATATATTTCCGCTTGCCTGTATAAAGCTTTTTTAATCCTTGAAACAATAGAAAGCTAATATTCTTCAGAAGGTTTCAATCCCTGAACACTGTTCATGTTTTTTAAGACAAAACTTTATTGAAAACTGGCGCCAAATGTTAGTACGTTTATCGGTATCTCTAGGCGCCCAGCGTCAACTCCGCTCCGAGCCAGCCGCTTAAACCAAAAAATGTCTTTCTGTATCTTGTTTTTCCTTGCGTACTGACATAGAACAAATTATTAAGAAACTGCGCGTGACTTGCGAAATAAATAACGAGAAAAAAAGGGGATGAAAGATGAAAATTTGAACGGGTTGATTGAGATTCTGAATGTAAATGTTAATTTTTGGACTTAAATATTCAGAACACTCTTCGCGCAAATGGTTTTCAAACGCACTCCTGTAGTGCTTGACTTCATCATGATCCTTGTCCTTCCCCAGTAAAAAAAAAAAAAAAACATTGTGCCTTCTCAAACCTGCTTTCATTTTAAAGTAATTTCCTTTGAAATTTAGTTCGCTGAAAATTACATTCAGAACAGAAAACGCCCTTTCAAACCTGGAAATTCAATTCGAATTTATCTAACAAAAACATCAAACTGGCTTTTTTCGCGGTCACTTCTTCAAATAACAGAGTGAGAAACCAAGTGTTTTGTAACTGTAAAAGCGACTCTATTGTGTCCAAATTAAAATGTTATGTACTTCAAAATATGTTTTTCATTAAAGCTTACAGTCATCCCGAACCAAAAGATCAACAGCTGTCAACGCATCTATTTCAAAACAAGAATTCGGTATCAAACAACTGCTTCTTCCGGTTTTTTCCAGACAGTAATCTCAGAAAGTCACGAGCTGAAATAATAGACCGTTTCAGTCACCTCGTCAATTCTGAAAATTACATTAATTCAGGTACTTTCATCACGTTCTCCCACGAATATATCATAAAAATATCAAATTGATAAAACCAAAGGGCTAGCACTTCTTATAAGGTCACTTCCAACCTTCGCGGTTGTTCTTTGGGAAAAAATTCGCACGCGCTAGTTTCACCGAAATCTAGCGAACTATATATCAGAAGAAAGCTTAATAAACGCAATTTACGATAAAAATATTTTTTTTATCAGTTTTTCTTTTAGGTGGTGTCAGGAGCCGGTAAGGCGTGAAAAGACCGAGGTTTCAGATAAATCTAACCTTTCAAGGGGATGGGATGAACTTATGGGAGAGTAGTTTTGATGTTTTTGTTTTATCGCCTTTCAAAAGATCTGATAAAATATTTCCACGTTTTAAGTCTACTTTTGAAAATATAAATTTGATCTTGTGTCCTGTCAGATGCATTTAGAAGCCATTCTGCTCAGAAATCAAATCTGGACGGGTTCGCGAAATTAATTTTCTCTCATTTGCCTGATACGAATTTCAAATTTGTCCAAGGCATTGATTTTCCTGCAGGATTATAGAAAACTTTCCTTTCGCAAACATACTCTAGATTTCGCTTATTTAATTTCCGCTCAAAGGTACTTTTGATGATGCCGGAAAAATAAACTGGAAGTTTCAATCCGGCATGACATGGCACCCGAGTGTTTGCATGAAGTTCTCACGATACTTAAAGCCACAGGCACATTTTTCCCAGAACATTTACTTGCCGCAAAACAACCAAATAAACCCGTTTGTTGATCCTGTGGCGGAAGAATTGAAACGGTCATGTTAGCAGATGCCGCACGAGTTGCAAAAACGACAGATATCTCTTTGCTAGAACTGTAGGATTAAAAGTAGCATACTTTTTATTACTTAGCACACATGGTATTGTAATAACTGCCAGCTTACTGTAACACCTATTGACGTTTATTGAAAACTGTATATTGTATTTTTGACACTGTTTGGCTTTTATCGTCGCGACATTTGAAAAGCCCCACAAACATATTTTCTCTTTTCCTCCAAACACAAAGCACAGTTTACAGAGGCTATTACAACACACGTAGGCTATCCTCGATCTACGAGAAAAAACTGGGGTTACTCAGTTACAAAAGGTAAGGATTTTTTTTTTCTTTTTACTTTACTCGCTCAAAACCTCATATTTTACCGCGTGTAATGAAAATTGCAGATTATCGAAAGCATCAAAAGGTATTTTGTATATTTACCGGTTGTGTGCTACGAATGATCTTAGTGATACGAGTTTATGGGCAGTAAACTCTCTAGTTTTCAACTTACTTTATGTATAAAATCGAACATCTGAAGAAGAACTTTTAATAACTGATTTGATGACTGCGCAGTCGTGTAGTTACATGGCTTCAACTTTACACGAGTGTGGCTTATCAGAAACCCTAAAGTTAGAAAGATTTGGTTTACCCGCAGTTTACCAATACCACGTTAAATCTCGACAGTGATGTCCTCGTGTCCTCATTACTTAATAATTGCAGCGTTTACAGAGTCTGCAGAAGTATATCTAATTTTTCTATTCACTTGCGCTCTAATTTCTCTGGTTAGACGAAAAGCTGATGCTCTGAAACTGACGCGCTACGGAGAGAAAAGCTGAACTGTTTTACAATTAAAATGAAAATCGGACAAGAATCAAGCCATAGTCGAAATAACCAGTGAGAGAATGGTAACCTGGGATTCTTGTGGATTGAAAGCATCCAAAATATTTGGAACACAGACAAAATCGAAGAAACGCGATTGACCGCGGTTGACCGTTGCCGGCCATTCTCTATGACATCGGGTAGGGTCCATTTCGCCCCGTGGCAATGGAAAGAATTTTAATCTTCGCACACAAATAAATGGTTTTGGCACTCTCGCTTGATAAGACATCGCCTGTCCAACTGAGGACTCGCTTTCATTATACAAACTGTGCAATGTTACGATTATTTTTAAGCGTTCATCGGTCATATCAAGTTTTGTGAATTATGCGCAGATCTGTGGTGGCTGAAGTTTGCCACATTCTCAAATGATCTGCTCATTCAGTTTTAACTGCATTAAAATTCAGAGAAGAAACAGTCCTTTTCCATAACTGAACATAACGTTTCGAACGGTTAGCTTTCTTCCAAGAACGCTTCGTTGCCAGTTTTCTTTCAGCGGGACATCCATGAGCTTGCTTCATCACCCATTTTTAAATGATTGTAGATCAGACTTGTGATTAAAAAAACGTATCTTCAGCAGGTGGATGATACTTAATGGATAACAGTTTAACATCTATATTTTAAACGGCAACCTTCACAGTAACTACATGAAACCGCGATCGATTTTTTGTCCGTTTTCCAACTCCTTTGCTTGTAATATTCATGGTACAAACAGTTCTTGATCTTGGAACTTTATGTATGTAATTAAGGCGAATTACCAACGAATTGTTTTGACTTAAAACTGAACAAAAAACTCTTGTGATGTGAACAGTCTTTCGTATAAATAAAAAAAAACAAAGAAATCGAACCGAATCATTATTACCCTCAGCACAGCGTGACTCTATAGAATACATATAGCTTCCAGCCAAGCTGGCTCTAAGCGGTGTGTTTTGTGAATTTGCTATTATTTTAGAGTATATTCATCCGGTGTCCTTGTTTTGTTCAAACTATTTTGATAACATATTGAATAATTCTTTGCAAACCGATCACTTTTTCCCGTCGAGGATAGGATAAGGTAGGTTTGGTTTTAATAACTAAGTTGATAACGTAAATTAGCCACGTCAGAGAAAACTGAGCGACGTTTCGAGCGATAACCCTTCGTCAGACCGAGCGCAGGCAGATTTTCGAGAATTCCTCAAGAGAAATAAGCTTTTCACCTAGTTTATCATATTTTAGAAAAAAAATCAAAAACGAAAAAAAAGAACAGATACAAGCATGTAACTTGATAGAGTAAGTTTTTCAATCCCCTGAGAACTTTTCAGGAAGAAAGTTGTTATCGAAAATCTCCAGTCTTCTACTTTGGCAATTAATTTGCTTTGCAGCTGTATTTTAGCTTTCCTTGACAAAAGCTTTGTACCTCACTAGCCTCTAATTAAACGCGCTAAGCCTTTAAAAGGAAAATACAGAAGTAATGTATATCCTAACAAACTGCCTGACTCCTTTCTCACCGGGTGAGTCACTAAACTAGTATAAAACACTTGTTTATTTATTTATTCAATTTTCGCAGTTGTAAAATGTAACATATACCTCTGTGCTGATAGAATATGACATCTCATGGTTTTAGTCTTGTTCTTCCAAGTAAGTTCTGCGCTGTCTTTCAATTCTCATTCAGGACTTTTTTAGTCAATTACATTCAACATGAAGCAATTTTTCTCGCCAAAGACTAATTGATACAGCTGCCTTTTCTACCACAGTCAAAATTGTATCTGGATTATTTCGTATAGCACTATTTTCCATTCCAGACTGAGGTCATGGGTTCATAATTTAAACTTTGCCGATCGCACGCCAAAAGTGTTTCCTATCAAGTGTGTCAAATTGAAAATTACTATATTTAACAGCCCGCTTGTAAATTTACGACATAAATACCCTTAGGCTTGCATAAAATGACAGGGGCTAGTTGTTTGTTTGGTCTCAATGTTGCTGACGAGCCGTGTGCCTACAACCATCTATCGGCTAAGTTAAGCTGTAAACAAATACATCTTCATGACGAGGAATTTTCCCAGGGCAAGTAAGCTAAATTGAGGTTTTTTATGAAAGATACATCGATCAGAAATGTCTATCTTTGATTGCAGAACTTCACAAGTGGCGCGAAGTCATAACATGTTTCCTCTAGTGTATAAAGGATTCTAAGCTATCCAAAATATGGTTTTAATATTGCAAGAAAAGACAGTTCTGAATTTTCCGTCTCCATCATCTGTGCATCTCCAAAATGAAAGGAAAACTTATGTCTTGTCCACAATAAATGAAAATATTTCAACTTGAGTCTATGGTTGAAAGCAGACTGCAGGAAGTTCAATTTTTTTTCGTTTTTCCTCCATGTTTTTAAACTCATTGTCGCCTCTTCAAGCATGGAACAAGTGGCATACTTTTGGCAGCCACCTTTGTTTCCTTGCCTTTTAAAGCTTTAACCACAAGATAAATTTACTTCCCATTCTAATTTTGTCGTTCTGATTGTTTTCGCGAACAATTTCATCTATGGTCTCTCCGCCCAGTAGACGAATATCTATCAAGTTATGAAAGAGTAGTTTTGATCATGGGATGGAGGCTTTCCTACGTTCAGGCTTCAAACAGCCTTCATAAAACTGATCGCCTTCATAAAACTGTCTCTTAAGAACCTCAAGTCACTTGTTATGATTTCTCCAATAAAACTCTCAAGAATTCGATAGAATTTCACTTGTTAAGGACCTTAAAACAAAAATTCAAAATTTAGTCTTTTTTTGTAGCCCGAGGCGCGTTTCGGCGAATTTACTTCCCACCGAATATTTTCCCGTCTGAGTGCAAGCAGAGTAAGCTATTGATATCTAATTAATAATTCATGTAGGGAGCAAAATTGAAAGCATGGTTCTTTGTACAGTATGGATCATCAGTTCTCTATACAGGGGGAATGCGAATATACATAAATTTCAAGTTTTTTAGTTGGAGTCTGTTTCCGCATTTTAAGCACAGTTAAGACGCAAAAGAATCAGCTGCATTACAGCTAACTCCCACTGATTGAATGAACTTGCGTTTTCGACTCGGTTGCAGTTTGCTGTTGGTTGTTAATTCTAGTCTAAAATACTAGCACTCCTTACCTTCAAAGTCCTCAGTGCCCGCAGTTTGAGCTTGTCACGCGATACAATCAATAAATGGTATTGAGTGACTAACCCTGAAAAGTAACAAAAGAAGACCTGAGAACTTTGATTGTGTGACAGCGTATTGGTAGCTTTCGAGAAAACTCTCAGCACAAAGGCAGGCGCGTAGTGTGGTAATTTTTTCAAGTAAGCACAAGTACATATGATCTAGAAACCTAAGTAAACTGAGCGAAAAATACTGCGTTCTTCTTTTCTTGTTCGAAATAGTTGTATGAATACAAGCAAAGAACAAAGTTAGAACATGGTATAGCTTTTGTTTCAGTTTTTAGAATTTAATCAAAGTGGTGTTTTCATCATGAAATTTTTGTTGCGTACAAGTAAAATGTTAAAAATAGAAACAATTGCTAACAATTTCAAAATTTTCTGGTCACCTCAAGTACGCACGTGCGTATATGCGTATAGCCGGGACGCTACGCGCCTGAAAGGTATTTGAATTATTTTCGCTCCGAACGTTGTTATAAGTGTCAGTGACTTCTTAGCAATCGTGGATCATTCAAGACAGGTTCCAAGAGTTTTATGAATAAGTTGTATAAAAATTTGATATAGTTGCCAAAAGTCGGAACCGGTTGTTTTTTAAAACACTTGTCTTTTAACGCACCAAAAGTCAAGATTATAATGCAAACTGGTTAGTCTACCATTTCCATTACTTCTTTTTAGTGTTACATTACTTTTATAGCCTTGTAAATCTTGTGATGGGAATTTTTGTGCAGTCTAAACTTGTTCCTTGTTATCTCTTCGTTTGGTCACTCAAGATCTCTTAGTTAATTGTCTCTTTTTCTAATAACTTTTTGGCTTTGAACTCAGTGGGAAATGAACAATTAGTATATCGGTTTGAGATGCATATCCAACGACTTTGACACGGAATTTAAAAATATGGAGTTGTTAACGTGTAAGGAAGTCTTTGTAACTATCTTTGAAACTGACAGTCATTTGCTTTCGCTAATTTATCGGGATAAATTTAATGAGGATTTTGTGGCCACCTTTTATCTGCCCACGGGAAGCCGCAATTATTCCTTACTTTGTCCCTGATTTGGGTAAGATAACTTCTTGAAGTCACAAATCGAAATCTGTGGGGAAAGAAATAAACGTTAAAAAAAGTATTTACTACGCTAAAGACTGCCCCTTTTGAGTACTCAATTTAATTTTCCGTTGTTATTTTTTTACCTCTTCTTCAAGACACTTTCTCTCTCTATCTCTCTCTCTGTGTTTCTCTTGCTTAGAAGCGATGTAGAAACCGTTCTCATTTTTCTTAGAAGGATGATTTTAACGATTTCCACAGAAATTGAATCAAAGATAAGAAAAATGATTAAAACATTTCTGTGAACAGACCAAACGCGCCCCAAAAATGCAAAGACAGTGCCTAAGTCTCACTTCCAAAACACATCGTGATTATCAGCACATCACTTTTTTTTTGCCGTAAAATGCTAAGTTATAATTCTTTTATTGGAGTGAAACCCTAAGTGAATATTTCAATCACTAGATTTCGAGGAACAATGAAGTCTTTTGTTTGTTATTAATTAGAGATCTGACGCGTGATTTGTGGGTGAATGAAATTTACTGAGATACCTCCTCTGAATCCTGTACTTTTCAGATTTTGCTTGCAGCCATTTCAATTAGAATGAAATCGCCAGTTTAATCTAAATGTTTCAAGTTTTGAGACTGATATTTACGTTGATGCCATGCACTAGGAAATATCTTCTGGTGTTATCTTTTAATAACCCGGAGTCATTTATTCACTGTGACCATTATTCACCTACAGCGCTCAGAGGTCGCGTCCTGAAACGCACCCTTAATTGGAAAAATCTGAATGCACCATTATCGCCGGTCCTAGAATATTCCACGTTTTCAAGTGCCAGAGAGACATTTTCAAGGTGAGAATCAGTTTCTTTTGCCACCTGTCAATTTTTTATGCGGTAAACAAAAAGTTAATAGTCTTTCATTTCTTTTCTAAAGAAGTTTACTTGTTGGTTTCGTGACATTTCAGCGGGGAACCAAAATCCATTTTGGTAATATATTCGAGTGGGCGGCATCAACTCCGTAGGTATTTATTTCTTCCGGGGAGATCAGAAAAAATATTATTTACCGTAAAACAGTAGTTATCACCAAATATCAGTATATTTAAATAAGATTTTAATTTACTCTGTATGCCTTGTTCAGTTATCGTAGCTTAACATACATATTCAATTCCATTGCAAAGATACATTGTCGGGGCAGATGTTCTAAAAGTAATTCACCGCCTTCCACATTTTACTGAAATTTTCCAGGAGTCCATTGCTGAGGGAAAATGTTGGGTTTCTGTAGCATCCTTAGTATTATGCTTGTTTATCTGCGGATTGCAAGTACCAGGACGAAAAAACGTGAGTACATAAACTACCTTATCTGGTCAAATAGCTCGTGCATCTACTTTTTAAGCTGATTAATGATTTTTATATCGGCACAGTGTTCTCACAACTCACCTTTCAGTTGGCTACTCAGTTGAAATTGCGCATCTTTCATTTCTCTCGGAACTCAACTCGTTCAGAGCATCCTTTTTATTTCAGAAGACTTAAAAAAGGGTAAGCGATGTTGTTTGCCCCTCAAAACGAAACGAATTGTAATGTCAGGGGGCCTCTTTCACATGAAACACTCTACGCTTGACACGTACGCTAAAAGGCTTTTTTGTCAAGGTCTCGTTGGCGTCTACTTTCGCTTCCTTCCGACAAAGTAGAATCCTGTCATACAAAAGAAATCGTTTTTCTTTGCAATTTCGAGTCTAAATCACTTATTTGAAAGAGACAGCTGCACAAAGCTTCCTCAGTTGGCGGTATCAATTAGAGAGCGAGTCTTTTTTCTGAAGGAAATATCTGATACAGGGGAATTGTGTTCTCTGAAAAATCGATTGTCCAATTTAAGTCAAAATTGCTCCGTTTGGTTTTTATTGGAAGAGATGTTATCCAAAAACCTGCTCGACACGTACATTTCTCTTGTATCATTAACGCCTTATTCAGATTTATTTCCAAATATTTTTTTGAGGTGAATTTAGCATACAAATGACAAATTTTACCGAAGTGAGTCCTAATTTTAATTTGCTTCTTTGATTAGTAGTTGGTCAGTACCCGGATCGCGGTTTGTCCTTATCATTTTGTGATTTAAACATAATCTAACCTTAACATACTTTGTACATATAACTGGGATTATTCTTGTAGATTGAGAATTTTTGGTACAAAACTGATCAACTTAACGTTTAAAAAATATTTGAATATGTAATGCATGTCAGGATCCCCTTACAAGACTATCTTTTTGCGAAAACCTGATAAATTATCCAAACGAGTGAAATTATACATGACTAAGTTAGACGGATCCTAAACTAATTCAAGATATTTTGATCAAATAATGTCCAAAATGTATCTTTGTCTTAGGATCAGTTTTTTTTTTTTCCCTCTGGAGTCAAAATCATCTTAGACTCCCAGAGCTGAAAAGCAAACAACAATTTACTTTTCCAAATACTCTTCTCAAACAGTTATGGCAAATGGCTGTCGCCTTGCTGAATGTCTCGAAGAGAAAGGATTACTGAAAAGAAGCTTGGGTCTCACCCAAAGGAAACGAGCCTCAAAATTCAAGCTTATAGGCAAAATTTCATAAGATTACTGCTCAGTAATTTGCATTTAAATTGTTGAAGACAGTGGTGTCACATCCACCCACGTGAGACGTAAAATCATCCTGTGCAGTTAAATTTCGGAGCTCTGGTGAACAAAGCGCGCACGTGGAGCTCCGAACTCTATATTAGAGAAAATATATATATATAAAAAAAAAGCATGAAGCCGACAAAATGTAGTGGTTGTCACATGATAACTGTAGCTTGCCATATTTCATCTGTTTGTCTGTCTGGGAAAGTGTAAAACCCTGTTAATGCCGACCATTGGTTAGTGCGACAATGGTAATCATTTGCGAATATGCAAAACCACGTTGCCAACTAACTGACAATGACAGTTTTTTCATTTCAATCTATGCGAACTTTATTTGCTCATCAGAACCATGTGCATTTGTAACGGAAAACAACAAGTGTTGCAAGCTTCCATTTGAATTCAACAACCGTAAATACACCGAGTGCACCGCAGACTCGACCGAGAAGGACTGGGACGGACAGTGGCGGAATCCTTGGTGTTTTCCAGAAGATGACAGTAGTATCAAACATCCTTGCTACAGAAGCAGTTAGTTGAACCCTTCACTCTTAAAGTTTTCCCGGCGAATGAACATGTTTAGAAAGCAACTGTTGCTAATGATTTTACAATAGACAAAAAAACACTTTTTCCCAGATATCTTGAGGTGTGAGATTTAAACGGACAAACGAAACAAATCGACTTCAACGGTAGCATTTCCTTTTATAAGGAAACCGTTGACTGAGAATATATTAATAAAGTGTCCGTGTTTAGATGAAAATGTCAAATTGAGTTTCATTCTATGATTATTAATTCTGCCGAATTACCCATGTCAAAGAACGGTCAGGACAATTAAAATGTGTTTTACATTTTAGGTCCTAGTTGTGGTGGAGTCAGAACACAAGTTGCCGGAGTTTTTTCGTCTGCTAACTTTCCTAATAACTACACAAACAATACCACCTGCATCTGGAGGATATCTGTGGAGTTAGCCAATCATATCACGTTAAACTTTACTGATTTTGATTTAGAAAACGGTAGCGGATGTGAGAACGCGTATGTACAAGTGTATGATGGACTCAACACTACCGACCCGTCCCTCGGAAAATTTTGTGGTAGCGAGATACCTTCAGGTGTCAGGTCCAGTGGGAGTCAGATGCTTGTGGTATTTCACGGATATAATGGAGATAGATACAAAGGTTTTCGTGCATATTATGATTCAGGTGGGTGCAAAATACAAGTCGCTTTAGATTCAAAATTAAGAAGGATGATGACAGACCGATTCTTATGTCGTGCATTTTTCTAGCTAGAAATCTTTCTTGGTGTGTGTAGATCGTTTTCACATGACGTCACGGACGCCATATTGGTCAATAAACTAATAATAGTGGCCATGAATTATAGCTAGTCAGTCGCATGGCTTCTGAAGTCTTTTCTTATGTAAACACTTTATTTTGATGCAATAAATATGAATGACCACTCACGATTTGGGTGATAACGTTACTCTCTTTCTTCATCGGAAAAATAATTAAGCAACATACGAAGAGAGGTCGCTTTATTGAGCACTAGCCTAGAGATGAGACCTTATTGGGTTTTCAGTCTCCAAGGTTAATTTTCTCTTGTTCACCTCTCCTCTATCAGGGAACTGTAAAGTGCGCTCGTACGGCGGTAATGGCGGTGGAGCGTGCTGTGTTTTCCCCTTTACTTACAAAGGAAAAGTGTACAATAAATGTACTGAAGAGGACGATACAACAGGTCTCGCGTGGTGTTCTGTGACTAGCGATTATGGACGGGACAGAAAGAGAGGACATTGCGTTTCGGAAAATGGTAAATAAAGTTCATTTTTACTTTGATTATTTTACACATGATCAAATACACTTCTTTAACTATCGTACTCTAATTCAAGACATTTTTGTAAGACTGTTTCTTATTATGTGTGTCATTACTCAGTTTCGTGTGGTTCAAACAAATTTGAGTGTCACAACTACCACTGGTGGAAGCAATGCATTGACGAAAAGCTCCGCTGTAATGGCTATTCCCATTGTGCCGATCAATCCGACGAAACAGATTGTCGTAAGTAACAAACAACTTTGTATCCTCGTATTACGGTCTTTAAAAGCGCAAGAAAACGTGTATGATCTAGTACCAAATGAGGGGAAAAGTGTAACTAGTATCAAGCGCGGTAAGATTGATAACAGCGCCGAGTGCTATTTAAAGTACTAATGGTTCAAAGAGCGGGAAATATGTAAAGAGTGCATGGTTTGCATCTGAAACTGTGACAGTGGTTCTTGAGGGGGGGTGGGGGGAATGTATACAGCAACAAAATAGCTTGTTTAGTAGTTGTTTCCCTTTTAAGTTTTACATTGACTGAAATATTAATGTTGCTGGTTTTGGGCTTCTTTTTGTCGCAAGTAGCGTTGAAAAGAAGTGCTTAGATAAACGGCAGGGAGTGAATTGAATCAAGGAGCTCACTTATTCCTCAACAGTAGTCTACCGATGCAGAACACATGTATTTCGATGTTAGAACCTTCTAATGGGGTGCGCACCCTGAATGTTTGTCTAGAGACAAGAAAGACCTGCAATCAAAGCTGGACAGCGGTTCAGCCAAGTATTTTGGAGAACGATACTTGACTGATCGTCTAGAATGATCGTTCATGTGGAAGTATTTCTGAGGACTGTTGTTGGTCGTGGTAACTGACGTTTAGAATATCTTAGAGTGTCAGAGTCAGATGGTGACTTTTGCTAGGGTTCTCGAAACGTCCGTCGCTACATTACTGGCAATAGTGGGCCATTTTTAGAGCACTCTCACCGTAACGATCAAGCAACAACATCAAATGAGATAGATAGATTTAGACTGGTTTATTAAAATCACATCGCAGTAAAATACTGAATTGCACAATTTTATACAAATATAAAATATGATGACTTGAAGTTCTATTAAAAGTTCTTGTACATCTCAACTTGGGTTGGTTACAGCCGCACCCTTCGCGAAAAACGAATTAGCAAAACGCTTTGTCTTGGCTGCTGCATGGGACATTGTACGTTCTTTGGCGCCTTAAATAATAATGAGGGCTATGGGCTTCAGGAATTAAGTAGTGTAGTTTACTCTTCTGGTTCTCGCTGATTGATCTAAATAACGACTTTGTACTGTCTTCGTGATGTTCCCTGATAGAAGTCAAACAGGCGCGCTCTAACGCTTCCCCGTACGGCATTCTAGGAAAAATACACGCCAGAGCTCTTTTCTGAACTCTTTCTAACTCTGACTGTAAGTACTGAGGTAGAGAATAATGGAACACAGTGCAAGCGTAGTCAAGGGAGGATCTAATACATGCGCAGTAGTAGGCAACAAGATCTTCGGCTGGAACACGCGCACGTTTAAGTTGCACAAGGAAATAAATTTTCCTGGTTGCTTTCTTAACTAAACTATCTACATGATCGTTCCATGTTAGTGTGTTGTTGATGGTAAGGCCAAGAAGCTTGCTAGAAGTAGTTGCTTGGATCTGAGTCCAATCAACTTTAACTGGGTCGAAATGTTCCGGGGAACGACAGAAACTGATAGTAAGCTCTTTAGTCTTCTCAAGGTTTAGCTGGAAAAAGTTGTCCACTGACCAGTTGGAAACATGGTCCGCTGCTTCTTGTGCTCTACTTTGTTGCCCCTTCGGTACTTTTTCTGACAGGGTGGTATCGTCCACGTACTTCCACATCCCAAAGGACGCACTGGGGGTTAAGAGGTCGTTTTTTAATAAGCAAAAAAAGCCTGAGCCCCAATTTGGTCCTTTGGGGAACACCCGCTGGTACCGCACCCCATTCAGACATACAGTCGCGGCTGAGTTTAACCCTCTGAGACCGATCTGACAAGAAGTCCAGGATCTAATTAATGATACAGTTGGGGACCCCAACCACGCTAAGTTAGTGTTAATCTTAGATTCGATGTTAATCCTACATTCAATTATTTTCTAAGAACAAATAAAAATGCGTTTAATTCGCAGCACCAACGATGAATCCTGACTCTTGCACCATTATTTACACGGTAATAACAGAAAAAGGAAAAGTTGGTTTTGTTCTAAACAGGAAATGCAACTACAAAGACCGCTGTGCTGGAGTTACAAACACTAGTCAAGGTAGCGATGTTTTACGTAAACCCTTGTAGCTGGCAAGATTTCTGAACAAGGCTGCTCTCCTTTATCAATACATTAAACCTATAGAAATTGAAGAATGAAGTCGTTTTGAATTTATCGACTTTTAATTATTGATTTCAATAGCTGTGGAAGTGCCTTGTAACTTCAGTAACTGGTTCAAATGTTCAAACGGCCGGTGTGTTCCGGACTACTGGCGATGTGACGGTAAAGACGACTGTGGAGACAGAAGCGATGGTAACGTTAGTCACTTTTTTGGTTACAATTCACTGTCTGTATTTTTTGGTCTGTCTGCTGTCTGCCTGTTGAGCCTGTAAGTTTGTAGGACTGTCTGTCTGCCTTCCAGACCATGTGTGTCTTTTTTTGCTTCTTCATCGTCTAAATATCTATTTGTTTAATTTCACGTTGATCTGTGTGGCCCTTAGTATCAAGCCATCCCAGGCCGACTTGCAGTGAGTGACCAGTTCAACACCTAATGTACACTTTTTTGTTTTTTCATCCGCAGAGCAAAGCGGCTGTTCTTTTCAGGTACAAGGTAAAACAAGCTCAGTTTTGAATTTCATGACGTTAAACAGGTATTCAAAAATATATACCAACAGGTGAAGTCATCTCCTCTATTTTCAGCTTGCAGCTGGGTAAGCCACTGCCCCGAAAGTAGATGGGAAGCCTCTCTTGGAAATAAAACACCTTACAAAATCGACTCATTCGTTATCTGCAATAGAAAAGATCTTGGAGCAATACCCACCTACCTGCCGGTCAAAATCACAAAACTGTAAGTCAAGGAAGAACTCAGAATTTAAGAAATCGTTTTAGTAAAACAAAAATAATTGCCAGGAAAAACGCTAACCTAATGTCGCTGAAGGTATACCAGATGAGGAAGTCTGGGCACGGGAAAACACACAAAACTGTCTTTGAGACGATTTAAAATTTACCAGGTTTACGGGCGCCTTAAAATATTCGTGTCTCACTCCTAGAATTGAGCAGTGGAATTCACTGGCAAAGTACAAATTAAAATCACAGGAACTAATTCATTTTTAGCTGAAGTTTGCATAAGCGTGCTCACTGTATGCAGTTTATCCAGGAATTGAACCTTTATCCTTAAAGCAAAGCTAACGCAAGGGAACCCTGGTAGCGGAGCCCCATATAAAAAGATAATATGGAAATTCATCTGCGTGAAAAATTGGTTCAGTGCTGCTTGCCGTTCGTGGATCCCCATGTACCTCAATAGGTCCATCGGTGCAAGTAAAAAACTCTGCACTCGAGTGGAGTTTTAACATGTTTGAATGTTTATCATATGTTATGGCAGGGTGATCAAGGAAACGAGGCTCACGGTCATTGAGAGATTCAGCTTTGCAAGATACGAACATCTTGAAGAAATGTAAGTTGACTAAAGCGCCAGTTTGGAAGAAATCATATTTTAAGTATTGAGTCCAACCTCAGAAGAATTACATTTTCAAATTTGAATTTCTTATCAAACGTCAGAGCTATCCCCAATCTACTGATTTAGCTAGATAGTGCTCTTTACTGCGTTGTGTTTGATTTAGCTAGAAGCACTCGCAATGCAGTGGGAGTTCCAATTTAAGTTTTTCGCATAAAGCAATTGGCCATTTTAATCCATTGTTGTCGATCTGCAAAGGTTGGTCAAGAAATACACCCACATGATCCATTGTTATTAAGAATACACTGTTTTGATGATCAGTATTACGAAACGACCATTTTTTGACCAATCTTCTGTTATGCCTATTTTGTTTTTTTCATTTTTTCGTAGCGACCTGGAAGGAAATGTTATAGAAAAGATACAAGCAAATTCCTTCATTAAACTGCAGTCGCTGAAGACCCTAATACTGAAACGAAACAAGTTACGTCTGCTGAAGACAGGAACATTCGAAGGTTCAACTTCGCTAACCAAACTGTAAGTGTTTGGGACAGTATATTCTTAATCAATTTCTTTCGTAGTGTTCCTATCATCTTATAGCCGTTCTTAGAATTATGTGCGGCTAAAACATTAAACCGCGGCTCAGTGTCCCAAAAAATTTCTAAAGAAGCCTTAAATCCAATTTGAATCGTTAAAACGTTTTTTCCCCTTTCTTAATTAACAGTGATCTTGAGGAGAACCCACTTGAAAAGATAGAGGCACGTGCATTTCACGGACTGCAACGCTTACAAAAGCTGTGAGTATCAGCTAACCTATGTCAAACAGAGTATATGCAACGAAAGAAGTCTCGTTTGAAAACCAAGATCAAAGTCAACTGCACAGCTCATTAGGAGATCTTAAAACTATTATAAATATCCCGTGGGGCAAGCAAGAATTCGAAGTAAATACAGATAAACGGCCTTAAGATCTGACGATAAAAATGAATGGGACAAAACCAGACCGACAGTAGGCTCTTATATGTAAGAAATTGCTTCGGAATTTACTCTTTGATGTTTCGCTTAAGCAGGAAACATCGAGTGTGTGCCTTTAAGCTCAGTACCACTAACTTTGTGTTAGTTGTTGATCTAACAGAAATTTGAGCAACATGGATCTTAGGACGATCTCTTCTGAAGCGTTCTATGGAATGGACTCTTTAACAGAACTGTAAGTACACCAGAATATCAGTATTCAAACATATTAGTGCAGTCGTTTTAAAAGTCGTTCTGGTCACGGTTGTTTGAAGGCGAATGACACTATCCGGTGGATAAAGTCTCCATGCGGTGGACAGCGCAGTATGTTTCGTTAACACTTGTCAGCTGGATAGTGTCTTATCCATTGGAAGTTTTATGACTCCTTCGAGCAACTGGCCCTTTCGGTTTACGATTGGATCTAGATTTCATTTCTTCCGTTACGGACAAAAACTTGGTTGGAAAGGCTGTGGTTCATTATCGTGGTAAAGGCCACCAATAATACAAAGTAATCCTTTGTCTTAAATTGTCGTCGTAAATGATGTAGATCGTGACGTTTGAACTGGATGCTGTTGGTCTGCATTCTGAATCACGAGTTGAGTTGTACTGGCTACGGGTCTGGTCATGAGACACAATGTTTCGCGTGCATTGGTTAACTTTCAGCGAGGATCATGTGAAAATCACACCTGTTTGAAACCAACCAATTACAGAGCAAATTACCCATTAGTTGACACACAATTAGTCAACTTTGTCGCCTGATGAAGACAAGCAGTATGCAGTGAAAATTATGTAGGTAAATTATCACAATTATCTTAGTTATCACATGCGAATTGTTACCATCATTTTCTTTTTTAAGTTACTTGCATCACAACAAAGATCTGCAGCAGATACCGCTGGATGTCTTCGACAGTGTTCCACTTACGTATCTGTGAGTACACTCCTAAGCTTTTAAAGATGTATTTGGTCCGTATTTATGCCAACTAAACAACTCAAACCAAACCTATTCCGTCGAATAGTAATATGTAAATGTTCTTTCACTTCCAGTCTAAGCTTACTTGAGAGATTTGAAACTAATGCCGAAACTATCATATTGATGACGTGACTGTACAGACCCGATTAGTACGAGAAATTTAAACCAAATAGGGACTGCATCACGTCCAGTTTAAATCAGCAATTTTATCGTTAAGAAAAACTATATACTTTGCTAGAGGAAAAACAAAATTTCGCTAAAAAAAGACTCATGTATACGCGTCTTAGATCAAATTACCATTCTAAGAGAAATTGAAAGCGTCACCATAGATACATTTGATTTCTTTTCCAGGAAGGCCGACAAATTCGAGTTTTGTTGTATAGCAAAGTTATCTGGTCCGAACTGCTCGGCTCCTAAGGACTTATTCTCTTCCTGTGATGATCTCATGGCAAACACCACTCTGTATGTCTGTATCTGGATTCTGGGAAGCATCGCATTGGTAGGAAATGCATTCGTGCTGATGTGGCGAATGAAAACCAAGAGCGACAACAAGGTTCATTCACTGCTGCTGCTAAACCTGGCAATTGCTGATTTCTTGATGGGAATTTACTTGATTATTATTGCGGGTGTAGATGTGTTCTATCGCGGGAGGTACTTCATATACAACGCCAGCTGGAAGCGGAGTGCATTGTGTCAGTTTAGCGGTTTCGTCTCCACGATCTCCAGCGAGGCTTCCGTGTTTATTCTAACGATTATGACAGTTGATCGTTACGTCACTATCGTCCACCCTTTCAGGCACATAGGTCTGAGCGTGCGTGGTACCTACATAGCGTTGTTTATCACGTGGTCCGTGGCTATCGTACTGGCTGGGGTTCCTGTGACTGGAATTGAGTACTTTAAAGAATTTTACGCACGTTCAGGAGTCTGTCTTCCGCTACAGTTAACTGCAAACAAACCCATCGGCTGGGAATACTCTGTCTTTCTGTTTCTTGCCTTAAACTTTTCCTCATTTATGCTGATTTTCGTTCTGTATTTGGTGATGTTTTTTAAGATCCAAAAAACTCGTGAAATGAGTGGTGCAGGCAACGCAGTCACTTCGATCGGGACAAGAATGGTATTCATTGTCCTGACCGATTTTTCCTGTTGGATTCCGATCATTATCATTGGAATTGCTTCGTTGTTAGGAATGGAGGCAAGTCCGACAGTGTACGCTTGGATAGCTGTCTTCGTTTTGCCTTTGAATTCTGCGTTAAACCCGATTCTTTACACAATTTCCACTGCCAACTTCCGAAGGAAACTTCGTGGTACTATTCGGAAGCGAAGTCGAAAAACCGGCGGTTACGTCACCGAGCACTCGTTACTCGACTCAAAGTCGGCAAACTCAGGATCGACCAATGGGAAGTCAAAGCTCTTAAACGGGCATACGCAGGAATCCGATTTATAAGTGAGCAACTTTAGAATTAGTCACTGAGTTGAAATGACGGAAATTCTCGTCATTAAAATCGTAGAGGGAACCAAGCACTACAACTGTGTGAAGAAAATATCAGCATTAAATGAAAATGTAACAATATGCACTTAATCCCGAGTAAGCTAAACCAAAGATTACAACATTCGTCAAGCGTGATGTCAAAGAACACCAAGGAGCCTTCACGCCGTAAAACCAGAATCATCTCTGCATAAGGTGTTGTATGCCTTTGTTACAAGTAGAACTGATTATTGTAATGGACTTCTCTATGGGCTACCGGACTGTGAATTAGCTAAATTGCAAAGAGCTGTGCAAAACGCTGCAGCCAGGCTGCTTGTGTCATGTAAAAAGAATGACCCCATTACGCCAGTTTTGATAAATTTACACTGGTTACCAGTAAGATATAGAATTAATTTTATAATTTTATTGCTTACTTTCAAAGCCATCAATGGCATGGCACCTAGCTACATCATTGATTTGATTAATTTTAGGACTATTACGTGCTATTCGCTGCGTTCTAATGAAGGTGTTTTATTAAAACATCCGTCGGGGGAAATGAAAAAATCATTTGGTGACAGATCCTTCAGCGTGGCTGCGCCCACTTTATGGAATGCACTTCCCGTAAGCCTCCGCATGATCACATGTATTTCTACTCTTAAGTCAAATCTGAAAACTTATCTTTTTAAATTAGCTTTCAGTATTTCATAGATGCGTATATATAAATAAATGATGTAATGTTATATTGTAGATTTTTAATACTTGTACAGTTTTGGGTTAATTATTGTTGTAATGCGCTTTTGATCACCTAGTATGTTAAAAAGCGCACTATAAATCAATAAATTATTATTATTATTATTATTATTATTAAGGGAACCGATTTTTCAGAGTTAATTTTTTAACAATTAGTCTCAAATTAACAAGAATAAAACCAGAAGTTGATCTATAATTAAGCTATCCAGCAAGAAACAAATGCTTTGAGTCTAATCAGACGGGTTTGTTTGTTGACAAAGGTCTAATTATAGTACAGGGCTTCGTTGAGCACTTTCCAACAGTGTCAGTCAAAAACAAGGTTTGTAACGGTTTCACTTCATCGCACTTAATGATTTTTTTTTTGCAGCACTTCGTTCAAGGTATACAATACAATACAATAGTTTATTTGTTATTTGACAATAAATCCTTATTCCCCTGGCTCCGCAGTAGCAGTGCTAATCGAGGCGGGCCCAGGATAATCAGTAAAAGAGGAGGAAAATACACACAGTAAGAATTACAGATAAATAATTAGATGGTGAATACGAAAAAAAATTGAGTATACGGAAACAAGTATGTGATTAATTCAAGTTGGCAGCGCATTATGTTGTGAGTGAATACATAAGATAAAATGGATAAGGTAGGATGGGCGAGAGAAAGGTGATAGCTACTAAGAGTATTTACTAACTTTAGAGATTATCGATTCTAAGTCTTCGTAGGAGTCTTCAAATTCTAATATATTGAACAAGATCGTACGAATTTTCCTTTCAAAGATGCGTTTTGGTAGTGTTCGGAGATTAGTTGGCATCTCATTCCACAGTTTTGCATCGAATCTTGAAAACGAAAAAGCTTACTGGACACTGGCTCTTCGTCAGTTTCCCCCCCAATCTGTTATGATTAGTTTAGTTTTTGAAACACTCAATAGAAAAGTGCTGCATAGCCTGCAGTTTTAAATGTCCAATATGATTTCAAGATTTAGTGAAAGAATTCCCGGTGATATCTGAGTTTAATATAATTTCAGAGCTGAGCAAAGAGTTTCTAGCAATCTGATTAGTCGAGCGGTTCCTTATACGACACTTTAGTATAATTTCAGAGCTGAACAAAGAGTTTCCAGCAATCTGATTGGTCGAGCGGTTCCTTATATGACGCTTTATAAACCGCTCCACGCGGTTTATATAAAATGTTGACATAAAATGTTAATAAATGTTACTAAAATGTTATGATTTTAGAAATTTCTCTGTTGTTCAGCTCTGAAATTATACTAAATCGGTGAATATCGTCGAATAATCCCCTCGACTTCGTCTCGGGGATTATTCGACGATATTCACCTCGCCTTCGGCGAATAATTGTTAAATATAACGTGTTAAAATAAAATGTTAATAAATGTTACTATGATGTTATGATTTTAGAAATTTCTCTGTTGTTCAGCTCTGAAATTATACTATTGAAACCGCCTCCCGGTTAGCTCAATTGGTTGAGCGCCGGACTGTTGTGCGGGAGGTCGAGGGTTCAAGCCCCGGCCGGACCAACACTCAAGGTCTTAAAATAACTGAGGAGAATGTGCTACCTTTCTATAACATCAAGAAATGGATAGACATTCTAGTCTTCTCGGATAAGGACGAATAAACCGTAGGTCCCGTCTCCTGCATCTATAATTAGTTAGTTTTGTTAGGCAGGGGACGTTAAAGAACCCACTCACGAGATTACTGTGACGTGGTCTGGCCTGTTTACTGGGTATTGGGGGGAGGGGGGCATCTGTTAGATTCGCCTTTAATTGATTGTAAACTGCTTAGAAGTCTGGTAAAGTCCCCCCGCACAGTGTTGTAAAGCACCATGAGCTCAGGATATGTGCACTGTATAAATAAAAGTTTATTATTATTACTATTATTATTATTATTATTATTAAAAGATATTATCACCTCCCTAAGAAGCTTTGATCATTAAACAAATTCTCTTGTCAGAACCAAATGAAATGTACAGAGAAGAGTAGGGAGGATACGGACATTGATGTTTTGGTGAAAAGGTTAACACCATTGGCAGGCTGTCTATAGTGTATTGGTATCATGTCAGCTGACAGTTGGCTGCAGACAGTTGGTTACAAACAGCCTAGCATGTGAACCATTGTTCAGTTTTACCCAAAGTGAACAAACAGAGATCTCAAAACACATGTTGATTAATATGCTTTTAATAATATCAGTATCACCATGTGAATCAGCACTCAAAACATAAATCAATTCACGAATACACTAATGTAACAAGATACCAAAGGTTTCAAGAACCTTTTCCATAGGCGGTTGTAAGGTAGCTGTGCCTGCAAAAGGGGTCATAGAGCAAAGCCCAAAAATGAGAACCTGCTCATAGGCTAAACAGACAGCAAGGAGAGGTGTTAGAGGGGTGGTAGGCCCCAGTAACTGGCTTTTATTGAAATAAAACCCCTGGATACTGTCACCTGAGACTTTGTACATAGAAATCGTAAACTGGTAATACTGAACAGCAAGTAATAATTATTTGAACAAAAACTGCTCAGAGGAAAAATTACAAAAGTATCAAAATGTGTGTAGTCTGAGAGAAATCTTTCCATTCTTTATAATTATAGGAGGTTTCTGGCTTAAATCTCCATCAGATAGAAAATCCAGTCTCTTGCTATCAAACAGCAACTGAAAATGGTGACCACACAATCAAAAGTTTTGAAACGTTTTAATACTAAATCACTACCATAATGACTGTTTAGGTGATTTTACGTGTACAGTAGAACCTAACTTCTTTGACCTCAGTAACTCAAATTTCCTGCTGGTGCAAACTTAACCTTAACCTGGTAAATTATGATGCTATTAAAAAAACTTAACACTTTAACTCCCAAGATCTGATTGTGAATTCTCCCCTCTAGCTGCTACACATTTCCTTGTAAATTAGTTACAAGAATTTGGTGTTAGATCAAGATAACAACATCTACCTGACAACTTTGAATATTCTCATTACCTTTTTGCTGTATAATGAATGGATTTTATAAGGAAAAGTTACATGTTAATCATTTCTTGGAGTTACAGGCCTGGGTTAACTCATCAGGGCCCAATTTTTCAAGGCAGATTGGCACTAACCCAGGGTTGAATTCTAATCTGGGTTTCTTTAATTCTCTATTCAAGAGTCTTTTTAGGGTAATTGTCCAACTCTTTTTAGTGCATCCAATCATTAAATTGTAGGCAAATAGAATTAAACTAAACTTTCAAATTTCACGCTAATCCTGGGTTATCTCATCCCAGCCTTGAACAACCTTGCCCAGTCCCTCAAACTATTCTTTGTTTCCCTTGGAACCATAGGTTAGTGGGGTTCTACTATATCAACCATTGAAAAACATTCAACCATTAAAAAGTGTGTTCAAATGTCTATCTCTGTTAAGAACTGTTCCACCACTTTTCATGTGCCCCTCTCATTTCAGTCAGCACTACCATCACCGCTTGTTTCTCTACATTTTTCGGAGGCAATGGACAAGTACGGAAGGAAACTTTGTCTCCCTCTTTAGGAACAAACTCCCCCTCTATGCTGCAATAAGAAGAAATAAAAAAGAAAGACAATAGAAAAATTAACTTTAAAAAAAGTAAATGTTGTTGTACAACTCTTTGGCACATTCAAAAGCAGGGAAACTGTGTCATAGAATTAACAAATTGAACTTAGATCATGCTTCTGGCGCAATGACCAGTCACTCTTTTTTGGCAAAGTCTGTCATGCATGCAAGTTAAAAAATGATCAGCCGAAAAAAAAAAAAAGAATGGAAGTTGGCAGCCTGTACAGGATGAGGATGGAAGTAAGGCATACTAAAAGTGGGGACTACAGACTGAACCAGAAGAGTTTGACCTCAGCCTTGCACTTACAGTCCACTGACATGATTAATTAGTAATTGGCTGAAAATCATTCCACATGTAGGGATGCAAGTCAAGGATTTGTCAACACTCAGTTGAACATCAACACATGGTTGATGAACTGAAGGACTGTTTATTACAGTTTCTATGAAAAGGCAGTCTATGACTGCATGTGCCTACTGTTGTAGAGTTCTCGAGCATTGCAGTAAAAAAGCAACATGGTGTAAAATGCAGAGGGGTTAATGAACAGCTCTTGTCGATGCCAAACCAGTGATGAAAGGAGGGCTTTGGTTAATGTCGAGTTTGTATGCTGCTCAATTGACGGGCCGGGGACAGGGAAAGAAAGGAATAGATTAGATTGTTGCCAGTGAATAATTTTCTCTAAATACAGGCAAATTTGAAGTCTGCAACAGATGCAGATGCTTTATGATAAAGACATTTTTCAGATTTTCTCATTTGGTATGATTATATTAGCCACTAAGCCTGATGTTAACATTTATAAAAAAATTATAGAAAAGTGTGACAACATCAAAGAGATAAGTCTTCACCAGCTATATAATTAGTAGTTGTAAAGCTTACTATCATTTTGTAGTGTCAAGAGATATGCTACCAAAGCTACCATATTATAATTAAATGAAATACTATGACCTGAGGATGGTAAAGGAGTACAGAAATGATCCACGCAATAAGGCAGAAATCAAAGAAATTGTAGAAAAGAAACCCTAAAGAATTCAGGCTTCAGTTTTGAACCTGTACTTACCAAATACTAGTTGGGTGCCACTACAAACCAACCTGCTTTGCTCTCAATATGTGGCTTTGCAGCTAAGATGAAAGTACATGCAACACCCAACTAGTTTCTGGGAGGGTCCTGTCTAAGTTTGAATTTCCAAGGCTTCTCCTCTGCAATTTCTTTAGTCACAGCTCACCCTATAGCTACCACATCTTATGGCAGACTATACAATCTAAAGGATTCAATTTTTTTCTGTGACAGTGCACTGACGCTGAGAGAGTAGAAAAACCTCTAGAGTGAAGAGATTTCACCTAACACATTTCATAGTATTACTTTCATGACCATATATTTATTAAACCAGTTTCTACTCACTCAGAAATATGCACAAAAATATCCTTCCCACCATCATCAGGGGTAATGAAACCATGACCTTTGTTCCGACAAAAATTCTTACAGACCCCTGTTTGCTCTGGAGATTCTGATGCAATTCGTGATCTAGATTTAAAATTGAAAAGACAGTTAGTATTATGTTTCATTAAATGCGACATCTCACTCTAAAAAGCAATCTAATCTCACTCTAAAAAGCAATCTATCACTGCTCAATTTTTACTATTACCATTTTTTTAAACCATTTTAACTCCTAATATCTGATTGTTAATGGTAATTCTCCCGATCTAGCTGTTACACATTTCCTTGTAAATAAGTTTATTTGTGTTAACTACATCAAGATAACTTCTACTTGATGGGTTTGAGCATTCTCATTACCTGTTTACTGGATGAAATAGGGACAGTATAGAGAGGTTACATGTTAATCACTTGTGGGAGTTTTATGGTTAATCATTAGCTGGACTATTTAAATATTAATTTGTTGACAAATTTTCCTCATGGTAGAAGCAAACCAGATGAAAGTGCCATGATTCTGAAAATTTCTCTGACTTTGCGATCTTTATACTGACAGCAATATTAACAACTTGACTTAATTCTTCCAACAATTAAGGAGAGTAGAAGGGGCTTGCTCACTTGGTATGTAAATTATTTCTCTCAAGAACACACGATTAATATTCGAGTGAATTTAAATTAACGAAGTCACGCTTGTTTGATCATAAATAGTTATCTTGAGTATACCCAAACAGATCTGTAAAACCCAAGTTAAAAGTGAGAAAAACATTTGGCGAATCAATTATGATCACTTCACGTGTATTTAACAGTTACTCTCGAAGAAAATGTACGTGTTGTTTACAGTTTCATTAACCAGCATTAACATACTTTAATACAACAGCTGGGAAAAAAGAATTGCAGTGCGTGAAATAAATGAAATCTTTGAAATCCGAATCCTATTTTACGACAAAGGATATTACTTACTGGGAAGTAGTCCTAGTTCGCCTTGTGGGTACAGGACTTGGGATTTTGAATGGAAATTTTCTCGGGTTCATGGGCGAGCCCTCTGGACTTGACAAGCTCTTTTCTCTGTGGTCTTTAGTAGGGCTTCCTGCAGGCTTTTCTTCCACAATCTCCACGTGGCCGTCTTTGTGTTCAGAAGACATACCTAACTGTAGAACTTAACGAAGGAAAACGTTAAGCAGAAATTAGCGTTTCTCTTAGTTAAAATCGAGATAAAATGAAGGTCTTCGTTTGCGCATTTCGTGACCAGATTATATAAAAGTACCAATGCATCACTCTCGAGTTTTCAGTCACTAAAACACCTAACAAAACAACAAACGAGGTACCTTCCAAGGTTTTCCCCCCTTGTATTTTTAACTGAAGCAGTCAATTTAAGTTACCCTACCTTTAATAAGCAATAAATCTGAACACAAGCTTCTTCCGTGCAAACTATTCACTATCTCACTTCCCTCCCTCGGAGAAGAATTGTTCCCAGCTCCTCTCTGTCCTTGTTAGAGTCTAAGAGCCTGGAGAAACAAAACAACATGGCTTCTGAAGTGAAAGGTTTCAGTCAATTCCTTCCGTAAAACTTCCTTTTTTTTATCTCAGATACCATCACTTGACTTGGCGACTAGAATGTTTGTAACGTCTTCTCAGAAATATATCATGAGTGGTAAGATCAATGTTTGGAAAACCTTTGTTCTGAATTTTCTAAAGCGTCGCATGAAATTGAAATCTTGCCTCTTACATCACGAATAAGCTTTGTTTCTCAACCTTATATTGACCCTGTATTTTATCTTTGTCATCGTGTTAAACAAGGCCAGCAGCAGCAGAATACAGAGATTGAGAGACAGAATCTACTTGATAGATTACTTGATGCCGTGAAACAGGTGAAAATCAGATATTTGCTTTTAAAATGTTTGATATAATTATTTGTATTATTATTAGAATGTGGCGTGACTCGTCAAATGATTTAACTAAGACATTTTAGAGTATGTCAAATGGGTGGTTTTCATAGAAAGGAATAGGAAAATGTTAATGTTCACCTTTGCCCTTGGTTTAATTTTCATTTTGTTGGTATTTAAAAGGAAAATATTTGTGATATCGCTCAGCTTGTATTTGTACTGAACTTTAATCCTGTTTTATTTCTTATGGATTAAGTAACTAGTACTTTAGTTTCCCCAGTTAGCAGTGTCATGCTTTGTATGATAAAGAATCATGGATAACATTTGTCGGGTTCTGACAGGGAGAGGGAAGGGGAAAATTTTTGCTTAGCCCCATACTTCACTATGCATACAGTTCTTAGTTAAAGAAAACAATGGCCTAAACAATACATTGCCTTGGGACTGCAGCTTAAAATGTTTCAATATGGTGCAGAGCGCAAATCTTACCCATGGGGCCTACACTGTAGCTAGTTGGTGTGGTAACCTCCCACAATTAGGCAATTTGGCTTGTCATGAGTTGAAGATGATATATCCTGCAATAATTTCCCATGATTTACTTCAAACCATTTGCTTATAACAGTTAATGACCTCCAAACTTTTGCCATTGCCCAGTTTGTTTTTGTCTTACAAGTAACCCATAAGGAAGTTCTCCTTATAGATTTTTAATCTGAAAGGTGATGAGAAAAAGGACAGCTATCAATAACATGATATTATATGAAATGTATAGCAGACAACAGGGCTCAATAGTAACTTTTCAACCTACTAGCAAAGTGGCTGGTAACAACTTAGACGTTACAACAATTTCAGTTTGTTTACTAGCTAAACTGGCTACTAGTGGAAATTGAAAACTACAAGCCAAAACTGAATTTCTACTAGTCTGTGGCTATTTGGCTATGGTTAGTGTTAAGCCCTGAGACAATGTAGAAAACTGATATTTACTGGATGCTGGTAATGATAGAGCAATATGAGGGTTAAAAGGAAAAATCCTGTGAATCAGACTCCTCTGTCTGTGTGCTGAATTTGGTCTTTGGCAACCATTTTCTCTAAAGTGAGCTTCTAAACAAATAAATTTGACTGTTGTTTATTTATTTCGTTATTCATTTGTGTTAACAATCAAAAATTGAACATTTTATAACCTTCTGATATGTATCCTTCTTTCTTAACCTTTACACCCTAATATCAGTATGGATATTCTCCATACTGTTCTTTATACATTTCCTAAGGTACTGACAAGGAGAATTTGTTTAACAATCAAGGGCTTCTTTTGTTGGTGATCATTTTCTCTATTCTCATGACCTTGGTGTTTGATTCAGCAGTGATCAAAGGGTTGAAAGACATTCTTATGTTGAATTTATTTTTATATAATTATTACTATTACTTTTTGAGAGTTGTTTTCAAGTGAAGATATTTATGTATTATTTTTTCACCGGAAGTGCCAAGTTAGATTTGGTGGAAAAACAGAACTTGCCACAGATGGAGACAGCAGGTATTAAAATTAGATGCATATCTGTATATGCTCAGGCACTTATAATTGGAAAAAAAATCCAGTCAGAGTCCTTATACAGTTTTTACTCTTGTTTTGGAGGAAACTCTCTAATACATTTGAAATTCAGGATACAAGAAGCATTTATTTTAGAAAAGTATTTTCAAAGCTTCTGAAAAATTGTACCCATTCAACTCTGTAATTACTCTTGGTTTTCACCTATTTTAACCCTCACACTCCCAAGATGTACTCAGTGATTCTCTTTACTCTCTGCACACCATTCTTATTATGTTAGTTCAGAGAATTTGGTATTGGATCAACTGTTAATTCCCTATTTGGTGTGTTTCTTTATTCTCATCTCTTATCTGCCTGGTATTGTATCAATATTTTTGGGAGAAATTCTGTCTTGGTCACTCATGAGAGGTCAAAGAGTAAAGAAGCCCTCATGTGAAAAACTTGGACTATTTCACAAACTTTACAGCCTCAATGGCAATTTACCACTTACTATCAATTTAATTTAATTTAGTTTAATTTAGTCCATTTTCACTGCATTAAGTTTTTGCAGTGGGGAAGGACTAGAAAGGAACATAGGAACCATTCATGCTAGTCCACCCTCCCACCCATCCCACCCCAGGGGAGGACATCCATCACACAGTAATCTTGTGTGTGGGAAATTAACATCTCCTACCCCAACCCTGCAGGAGACGGGACCTCCATTTATTCGTCCCTATCCACCAAGACTAGAATATCTAACCATTTCCTGATGTTAAAGAAAGGTAGCAAATTCTTCTCAATTATTTTAAGACCCTGAGTGTTGGTTCGGCCAGGGCTCGAACCATCAACCTCCCGCACAACAGTCCAGCGCTCTATCCATTGAGCTAACCGGGAGGCGGTAATTAATGAATGGCCCTGAATTTTAATATCAGTTAGAAATAAAATGATGCTGATCTTAAGTACGTAGACTAGCTGATCAACATCAAATGAGATGTCTATATATATATATCATGATTTAAGGATGCCATAATTTACATTATGACTGGTTTTGAATTTTTTTTTTTTTTTTAGGGTCATTTGCTTGTTAACACAGTTGGAAGCAGTTTTCCAACATGGCTTTAAAAAATCCAGAGTTAGTGCATTTAGGTAAATATATAATTTTTCGTTAATTTTCATGTGTGTTTGTGAATTATTCTTTAGAGGTAAAAAATTGCAATATATATGTTGTGTTGTGTGTTAAAAGTACTTCTCCTGTTGATGTTCATGAAATTCAAGCATTTTTATTTTCGCTTCACACAGGCAAGTTGGTCAAGCAGCAGGAATAGTAAAATTAGACCCAGATTCAGGTACCAACACCTCCACCCTCAGTGTTTTTGAAAGTCTCCATTTCAACACAGCTCACCATTTACTTGACTTCAGCAATGAGTTTTAGTTATTGATAATGGTGACCAAAACAGTAACTGCTTGGTGCACTTAGTCTAATCAAATGTTACTAACAGTAAATCACTTACTTACCACCAGATTGTGTCTTTAGAAACACGACCCTTAATTAAGTTAAATTATTATCTTTATTATGTAATTAGTGTTGGTAGTTCTTTAAACTCTTTTGCGCTGAAATCTTTCAAATTTTTCTTTCACATCTCATTCGTTGCTCCTTTTACATCACTGTTTAAAACAACTTAAAAATTATCTATGATTAAAGAATAGCCTTTCTTTCTCTAGCCTTTTGGAGCTTTGTGAAAGCTCACTTGGGAAAACTTGACCTGGACAGATTTCTTGAGCTTCAGAAAGCAACAACAGATGCAGGACGAGGTTGGTTTAAAATTTGATTTGTGCTTTAAGACAGAGAGGAATGTAGTTGCCAATTCACAATTTATTTCTAAGCTCCAAACAATCAAGACCAGTTTAATGATTTGATTATGTGCAAGCTTTAGGGAATCCACAGTAACATGAAATGAAAAACTGCAACATAAACATGTCCAACTCATTCCTTGTACGTGTTTTCTGAGCCCACTATACCTTATGGGAGACACAGGCCTCCCAACACTAGAACAAGAAATTCTTTCTTTTTTTATTTTTAAATAAAGATGTTCAACAAAAGGTAACAACAAGGAAACTTTGATTTTCATTGCATTCCACAGCAAATTTGGTAGGAATCTTATTAGGATTTCTTAGGTTGGACAATATTAACTACATTTGATTGTGCAGTTAGATTGCACTGGTGGTAGTAGTTTCGATCAGTCAGCTTAGTGTGCCACTTTTCTGTACTTACCACATTTTGACATCATCTGCGATCTGTAATTGAACAGACATAAGGCAACATGGAATGTATTTGTAATTTAGGTATTTTTGACACACATTTTGCTCTTTTGCCAGGTCGTGCTTGGTTAAGGTCCTCACTGAATGAACACTCACTGGAACGATATTTTCACAACATGCTGCTTGATCAAACCCTCTTAAGGTGAGCTGAACTGACTTATGGACATTTGTAAGCCCTATTTTACTAAGAGATTTTTGTCTTTAACATTGATTGCATATCATAAAGTGATTAACTCATTTCTGTTGGATTCTTGGAATTCTATAGTCAGTTTTATGAGAAGGAAGCTTTCCTCATGGATCAAGAACGTGCCAGTATGCTGCCCATGATTGCTGCAGGTAAGACAGTTATGTAATACCTTTTATTGTTGTTGCATAACATATGCAACCTTGTGACAATCTTCGTCGCATAATCTTGTCCCCAATTAATTGTCATTGTATGGTGTAGCAGGACTTTTCCATTCGCTCTGACGAAGGGCTAACGCTCGAAACGTCAGCTTTTGTAATCATTACGGTGGCCAATTTACCATTTCAACTTTGTTGATATATCCAAACTTTTCCAAAGGACCTTGAGTTAAGTCTCTGGTGAGAGCCATTCCAAAGGATCTCAATATTAGGTTTCTTTATTTTTTGATGTTTTGTCCAACCAGATTGGAAGGGGCTGGGTTTGAGCTCTTGGTTAGGTCAATGTGTTGTGTTCTCACAGAACCTCTGTTTACCTAGGGGTGAATTAATGGATACCTGCAAACAGGGAAAGTTGGCAAATCCAGCAATTCCATCCAAGAAGGGGTAAAAATACCCTCCATCCCTCTTTTTCATGCTTACATATGTATCAAACTGCACTGGCAGTTAGTGGCTGATAGGCAGTCATTGTATTTCTGATGTTGTTGTTGTTGATGTTGTATCTTGGTAGGTTTGAGCTCCATTCTGTTTGCCCTCACTGTTGATGGGGAAGAACTAAACATTGTACGACAGGCAAGTACTATGGCTACAGTGATGCAGCAAATAAATTATGTTAGAAATGTTAATCACGAGACTGGTTTGTTATTGTTGTTGTTGTTGTTGTTGTTGTTGTTGTTGTTGCCTATGAACAAAACTTAATCCAGCATTATTCTCATTTCCCTCAGGCCCCAGCATTAACAATCAACAAAGATGTCTTCAGTAATATATTACCATCTTTCCCACAAAAGCCTGTTGTGGAACCTCTCCCAGTGTATTCTGCTGAACTCACAGGTCAGTACCTGTCTCTTGTGTTACACTGAACTCCAAAATCCAGCATAACGGTTTAACTGTAATTCTAGTGAACGTCAACCTGTTGATTGCCACTGACTGATCGACTCATTGACTGACCAATCGACTGACCAATTAATTGACTAAGTGACTGACTTGATGACCGATTGCTCGACTGTCTGATTGACTGACTGATTGAATGGCTGACTGACTGACTGACTCGCGTACTTACTGACTGATTGACACGCTGACTGACCTATCGAATGACCAACGGACTAACTGACTGACTGACTGACTGACTAAATGACCGACTGATCGACAATTACATTAATTTTTTTTCAACAGATGGATCCAAAACAGAAAAGAAGAAAAAGAAGAAGAAGAAGAAACGAAATGCTGCTATTGTTGCTATCGAAGATGATGACAATTTATCACTGAACAGTGCAACTGATGTGAAAGACTTACCACTTAATGACTCAACAATGAAGCGGGAAACGCCTGCTTCAAATTCTGCCTTGAAGACGTCAAGTTTGGGCCATAACCGTGCGTCCTCCTTCCCAGGTAACATTACTCTTGTGACTGAAGGCTCCGCTGAGGAGAAATCACATGTGAATGGACAAGAAATTGTGTTCACCGCAATAACGAAATCCATCTCTTTACCTGATAACTCTATACCTGTTGAAAACGTCGTCGAGATTTCTCCGCCAGGAAGTAAAAACAGCAGCTTAGATCTGGAAGAAGTTCTGGGCAAGGTGACATCGGAACCTGAGTATGTTACAGATCGGGAAAGTGAACAAGAGTCCACTACAGGGGAGGGCAAGGGAAATTTCGTCTTGGATTTTTCGCGTACACAACCTAGGGTGGAGGGAAAAACAAACTTGCAGGAGGTAAAAAATGAAACGGAACGTTATGGCGAAAAACCGATGCCCACAGAAATACCAACTGTCTTTGAGGATAGTGGTGAACCTGTGCTTCTGCCTCAAGAGAATTCCAAACTTAGTGAAAACGATTTTTTTCAAAGCCAGAATACTTTCGACAGTAAACGTTTCAGTGGTGGTTCTTCGACTGTGAAAGCAGGTTATTATTCGAAAGAAAAAGACGATTTGAGTCAAGGACCTCAGAGTGTGGGTTCATTTCGTGTTTATGGTTTAACAGAGGACGACGGTGCAACTGACGTAAACTTTTCAATGGCACAGTTTCAAGTTCCTAATGTAGTTGAAATAAAGAACACTGAAGAAGAAGCCGTTACCAATGAACCAGTTGTAAATGGGCCACAGGGCTCTATCGATGTGAACTTGATTGAGAGAGGGGACACGAAAAATGAGCCCATTGTTACACATGAACACCTAGATTTGAGAAATAGCCCAGGTGAGAAATTATTAAAACAAGGAAGAACGAATGATCAAGAAAATTTGGATAATGAAGAGTTTAGAAATGATTCGAACGATTATAACGAAGAGACAACTGGTGCTGAATTGCAGCCTGGTACATTTGAACCCGTGGTGTTGTTGGACAGCGGGGAATCCCTAGTGCCTCTGACCGAGCGCGACCGTGATATAATGAAAAATGGGATGTTTCCCAATACTTCAATGGAAAACGACCGCGATTCGGTCTCGTTGTCAAGGTTAGTGAAAAGAGATAAATAATTTTCCCTGGACAGGAAAAGATGAAATCCGAAAAGGTGAAATGGAAAAGTAGAGAGTGAGCGCTATCTATTTTCTTCTCTTAATATTTTGACAGTCTTGCTGTTTGTGAAGATAAAACTGATCTACTTTTCTAGTTCACAACAAGGTCCACAACAAGCATCACCGAAGAACCCTCACAGACATCATGAGGAATAAATTAGGAGCAACTGACGAAAGTATCATCAACTGTAAACAAACCAAACATTGTTTTCGACCCTAAGTTGTATCAAATCACCAGTTAGAGCGTTTTTCAATTGAGTGTCGTAGAACCAAAACCAAAGTAATCACAACAGCCAATCAGAAGAAAGGAAAGCACTTTTAAGAGCCAATGAGAACTCAAAGTAACAACTGAAAAAAAAAAAAACAACAAACAAAAGCGCGGGAAAACGCGTGTGACAAAGCCGTGATTGGTGTTAGTTTTGCATTTGTTGAAAGAATGGCGCGAATTTTCTAAACAATTATGAAACGAAGGAAAGCAAAACCACTGCGATCCCAAATTAGTATAGGTACTAACATGATTTCGAGTTAATTTGGTGGTAATAAGCACGAGTAAAGTTTTTCAAAGACAGCAAAATTGCACTAGCCGGAAGTACGAGTGCAATTTATGGTCATTGAAAAATTTTAAATTGCTTATTTACACGAAATTTCGCGAGAAATGTTGATACTTGTCAATAAGTTACATGAAAAAAGCGTCACACAAGTCAAGACAGACGAAATTTTGACAGCGCGCGCGTTATTTGTAATTTGCACTCGTGTTACAACTTTGCACTCGTCTTACATGAAAAATGCACTCGTTTTCAGCCAATTAAATGCGTGCAAATTTTTCATATATATTGTTACTTTCGATACTCGGTTGAAACTGCTCTACTACCTCTGAAAGAACTTCCCTTCCGGGACAATTTCCCCTACTTCCAAATGGAAATTCCCAGCAAAATTATGCGAACAAAGTCATTCTCCAACATAATTTCCTTCCCGACCCTATTAGCTGGTCCAACTTGGAGGATGGTGAAGAATTCCCTGAACTAAAGGATGATTCCCCTCACAATAACCACGGACGAGCGCGTGCTATGACGTCACCGGATGTTTCTGCAGCTGCTGCTGCCCTTGCGGCTTGTACTAACGCTCAGAAAGGGATGGACATCATGTCTCGGTAAATTCTCTTTAACTTGTTAAACCTTGAGAGTGACCAGCCTCTAACTTCTCCTTACAATTTCAACCCTAAATCACAAAATTTTGGTCACGAGAATAAAGGAAATGATGACCAAATTGAGAGGCTTTGATTGTTAAAAAAATTCTCCTTTAAAGCACCCCAAAGAAATGTATATAACGCTTCTTAAGGATTCACAATAAGATGCAAATTTCCAGCGTCTACCGTAGATTCCACGTCGTAGGTGTTTTAGTTTTGTAGTTTTGACATTCAAATACTTTCCGGCGTACGAGATGTTTCCAATTTTTTTTCAGGGGCCTTGTATCTATGGAAAATCAAGCCGGGAACGTAAGATTATTTTTTCTTTGTTTTGGTTGGTTTGTTTGTTTGTTTGTTTGTTTGTTTTTGAGTGACATTTTTTCAGAATTTTTAAGTCCAAATAAGCTTAAAAAGTGTAAATGTTTCTTTCAGAGAGACTTTTCTAGCAGACAAGATGGAATGAGCAAAGGTAAGTTAAAATACCGAGTATAATTTGGTTTTATTACACGACTCGGGCAGTCAGAGGGCCAATAACTAAAATCAACCAATCAAAATGCTCTATTGCCGGTCCAATATTCTCTAAGTATTGGACCGGGCACTGTCCCGAATGGTCCCGAATGATACCGCACTTGTGTCCCTTTGAACTTCAGTCGTATAATAAATCTCTTTTTAACCAAGCTTGCTCGGGACCGTACTGGGAGAATATCGGCCCTCGGTCTTTTTTGCACGGACCTCGCTGCGCTCGGTCCGTACTGTCAAGACCTCGGGCCGATATTCTCCCAGTACGGCCCTCGCGCTTGGTTAATAAGATATATTTATCAACTGGGTTGATATTTTGAATAGGCCACTATAACGAGTGTTCCAAAGCTGATGCTTTGAGCGTTAGCCCTCCGTCGGAGTGAATATGGAAATAGTCCATTTTACAGTTGTGTGCTTGGTTGCCAAGCCTTTGAATGGGAGTGAGGCTAGGGTTTGACCTTGTTATGATACAAACCTTGCTGCCTTTCAAATGTAAATCACTTTGTTATCATGCTAAGTAGATACAGGTCTCTATCACAACAAGGTCACCTTCAGCCTCACTCTGAATCAAAGGCTTGGCAACTAAGTACACAACTGTAAAATGGCCTATTTTGGGTTGTGTGGTTTCTCTACAGAAAGATGGAGCTACGCTATTTGTGGGAACACGTAACGTTTTAATCCTCGCGGTACCAACAGACGCTTTTCATTCAACCGCTTTATTCTTGTGGTTTTATGTTACTAATTGCACGTTTGTGAAAATGTGTGAAGCTCATAATTGTGACAGTGCGCGTCTTTAGTTGAGTGCAATAGCCAATGTTTAAAGTTTTGGGTTAATTCTTGATTAGGTGAACTTAAGCAAGCGATTGTGTCCATGATGTTAAGAAAAGATGAAATGGAAGAAAATAATAGGTAAGGTAACTTGTTAGAGTAGTTTGTTACACCTAAAGTACTTTCCTATTGATTGCCGGGAAACCAAACCTAAAGTAACCACAGCGACCGATCAAAATGAGGAGAAAAGTGAGTGCAAATGAGAACTACAAGCATCCGGCCTGAAGCGCGGGAAAACATGCGTGACTGAGAAATTTGATTGGTTTTGGTTTTGCATCTGATTGGTGGAAAAGGTGGAGCCCATTTTTTAGCCAATCACAGGGCGAAGTGAGGCAAAACCAATGCAATCACTTATTACCTTGAAAGCTCATTTTAACGTTTTATGAGGGATATTATTGAAGTCCCATGTCGCGTTTTGTATCTTTAGCTTGTCAAATTGCTAGGTAATTTTTATGTGTGCTTGAATCTCAAGTGATCTTCTCTATGGATAATTCTGCCTGAATGAATGATAACTTGTCCACATACTCCGATTTTTACGTTAATTAAGCGGCCAAATTTTGCAGAAAGAACATAACTGTTTTCGTACATCAGTAACAAATTCTCTCCAGAAAAGCAAAAGAACTTCCCACGAATTTTTCCGTATTTCTAACTTGACTAATAAGTCTAATTTTCTTCCCAGTAAATAGGGCTACATGGTTTTACTTCTTTCTTCGAAAGTTTAATATTATCTTCAGAGGATTTTCCGCGTGAACCTCTGCAAGGCACGTCTATGTGAACATTTGAGTAGAAGTATAGTTATCCTTGTCGTTGTCAAATCATTTGGCTTCTTCATGTTTTTAGGACCCTTCAGAATAAACTTGCGGAAGAGCGCCAGAAATCGCTTCAACTGCATACAGAGACTGAGGACCTTAAGGGGGAAATTAAAAAACAAGAGAACTTGAACGCAGCCAAGATACAGTCTTTATCCAGGTACACTCAGCTTAGAGCGAGCTTTTAACACTTTCATCCTTATACACGGTATTGGTTCGGAAACTCCGAGCCGATTTCCGGGATTTCCAAATAATTTCGTACACTTCTATCCGTTTTCAGAAGGTTTTGTCTTATTTCTGACTATTCCGCCTGATTTCGGATATTTCCGCCCACTTTTGGACTGTTCCATCTGATTTTGGATACTTTCGTAGTTTTCGGGTGGTTCTGTTTAGTTTCGGATATTTCCGTCCCATTTCTAAAAGTGCCGTCCGATTACGGAAACCTCTGTCTGATTTAGTTCACTTCCAGCCGAACTGGCCACCTCCCTCCGTTTTTGGACAGTTCTGTCCAATTTCGGACGCTTCCGTCAGTTTTCGGATGGTATAGTCCTGTTTTGTTTACTTCCGTCGCGTGCAGAAGATTCAGCCCGTGTTAAAGTGATTCCGTCAGATTGTGGACACCTCCTGTTTTTAGAAGGATCCAGCTACTCTCGTTAAACTTCAGACGGGTGTGTCCGACTTCAGACAATTCCATCGGTAATCGGACGATTATTACTATAGAGGGAAACTTGCCTAGTTTTTTGCGTTATGAATATATTACACAGTACAATTCTTTACTTCGATTTCGGAAGTGTTTTGAGGGTCATTGAGGAAAGGAAGTGTTTGATTACCTCATTTGCAGAGAAAACGAGTTGCTAAAGCACCAGTTGAAGAAATACGTTGGGGCTGTACAAGCGCTGAGAAGCGATCTGCGCAACAAGTCATCTGAAACAACCGAAGGTAATGTATCATCAGAAATGATGGTTGTGACCTGTGCGCCGTAAACTAAAACAAAAGACCGACGCAAAATGTTTTTCATGTCCGAGTATTTTTCTCTAAAACACAGCTTAAGTGAGAGACTACTTGCAAAAGAAATTGCGATTGTTTTGACCAAACTGATCCAAGGCGAGGTCTGATGACAAAAGGAGATGAGTGTCTTTGCAAAGTGCGACTTTCCTCAATTCGTTCCTCCTTTCCCTCCTTTTGCTGTTTCTAACTTTGAAGGTTTTTTTTTTACGTTCGCGTTCGCTCTCTCGTTTAGGATCCTCACACTAGAAAGTTAACTACATAGTTAACCGTTGGCAAATGCAACCGCTCAAACTTAGACCTTCATCATATTGGTTATCATAGGATCCAAAGTTTTCCATATGTGAACTATTATTGTGAAAGGCATACATGTCCTGTCGTGAATAACTCGGTTTCTTTTGCTGCCACAGCGTTATCCGGAATTAGACAAGATGATGTCTTACCTCCTTTGCCACCGGAAAGATTCACAGAACTTTCTCAACAAAGGTTTGATTCTGTCTTCCTTGTGTAAAATGCATCTGTATAGGGGATTGAAATGAAAAATAAAAAAAAAAAGAACAAATAAGAGCTAACAAGAACTCAAAATGAATTCATGTAAGCGGCACCAAGCGCAGGAAAGCATCAATAACCATACAGCGATTGATTTCAGTTATGCATCTTATTGGCTGGGAGAGCCAATCCCAAAACAGAGTTAAGCGAAACCAGTGGAATCCTGGACCACTTTAGACACGAAGGAAGAACTTCACTGATATCTCGTTTAATCTTGATAAGTGTCAATTATGTTTTGTTTCTTGTTTTGTAGCGAAGAGGCTGAGGAATATAAAAGGAAACTTATTCAGGTGAGAAAGCGCAAAGCGCGCAAAGTTCTCTTGACTTTTATGATGATACTCGCTCAGGTTATCAAAACATCACTCGCTTATTGTCAACTATATAAGTCCTCCTCAGTTTTACTCTCACGTGGACGATCAAACCACACGATCGACTTTTGCCTCTGAGTTCAAATCATTGACTGAGCATACCATTTTGGCTATTAGCGCAAAGCTTTCTAGACGCGTATGATACCAAACAAATCGAGAGGTCAGTTGGGTAAGAGAAATTCGTTTGGGTGTCGATCAAAAACAAATGCACATCTCACGCGATCATTTCACCGTCACATAATTATTCTGAACTGAATATTGTGAATGTAGAGCTTTTTCTGTGCCGACTTAAAAGAGTTGATCTGCTTGTTCTTCATCTTGAAAACCTAAGGTGAAATTTTTGGAGTTTTGTCCGCGTTTGTAATCGGAGCTTGACCATTCTTGTTCGTTCCCTGTTTATTCCTAACTCTTATGCATTTTGCTACATTCCCGTGTTCTTATTTCGTAGTTTCCTTCAATTTGACGATAGTTTTATTCGGCGAACTGAAAAAAAGCAAATTCTGTCTTGAGCTCAGGAATTTAAACTGTTACCGAAGCAGATAGCCTAAGGTTTTTGTTTTCAGCTCCGAGTTCTACTCTAAGTTTTTTCTATTCCAGGTCGCTGATTTACATGGAGAACTGCTAGAATTTAATGAGCGACTTCATAAACAAGTCAGCTGTTACCAGTATCAAGTCAGGAGATTACGAGAAGAGCTTGTTAACCTCAGAGGACCGGTGAGGAGTTTGAAAACAGAAGCAGGATCCACTGGGTCGTGACTAGAATGGTTCTTAAAAAAATTAACGGACTTCCGAGAGACTAAAACATATGATTACGCATATATCGCTGCTCTGACTTGTTAACTGCCAGAACCAAACTGGCAGTAGGAAAATTGGATTGCTTTGGCTCTATTCTCTTCAGAGAACTTTCAGTTATGAGAGTGAATTCTAGTCTCAAATTAGCTTGGGACCAGGCCCTCATTATTGGCATTTCAGGACGCGCATTTCTCCGCCTGCGGGAAGATTGGAGACAAGTCGAGGAGAGATTGCCAGGAGTCTGGCACTAAAAACGATCAGTACCAAACCCCTTTGCAGACGTCTCGCCGGCTCGCGTTGCTCAAGGCTTCCTACTTTCTTGCGTGCGAGGAAGCGCCCGTGCTGAAGCACTTATAATGAGGTCCTGGCCGCTAATGAGTTCGGCCGGGAAAAGGAAGAGGAATGGGGATGGGAGGGAAGAGTGTTTTGTGCAGTCATCCTCTCTTGATTTGTGTTTGTTCTACAAAGAGTGACTAAGCCCACTAACGGATGAAAAGAAAAGAAATAGCGGATTCAAGGGACATCATTGTTTAATCGTGGAGTTATGAGCCAGCCTTTTTTTTTTTGTTTCCGTTTTCTTAGCTTCCTGAAGACCTGGAAACTCCTGACGACTCATCAAGCCTGTCGGAGTTCGACCCTACCGTGATATCAGTCGGTACCAGACCGCTAGTGAATGTGTGGATACCGTCGGTGTTTTTGAGGGGGCGGTCATCGAATGTCCACCACGTGTACCAGGTAAGAGGTTCGTTTATCTTACCGACTGACGGACTGTCTTACCGATCGACTAACTGACCAACTGACTGACCGATTAACGAACTAAGTGACTGACTGACTGAGTGACGACTGACCCACTGATTAGCTGACTGACCGCCTGACTGATTGTCTAACTTCCCAGCTTTCCAACTAATCTACTCAGTGGCCAACTGACGGAGGAACGTAAAAGAGGGATGTTGTAATATTGCCGTTCTGTTTGTTAAGGTTGGGCTTCCTGTGCACTCCCCGCATTTTGCATGACCAGCGGTTTCACTTTACGCGTGACCAGCGGTTTCACTTTATGGCATTTATTACCGTGACCGCCATTATGTATTTAGTCTTCAGTTAGGTTCTAAGTGAAGTAAGACCTATTTAAGGCTCGAATTCAACAAGGGACGAATAGGGCGACGGACTGACGGACTAATTTATCTTCGATACCATTTATTACAGTCCCACTGACGGACCTACCAACGGCCTGACTAACTGACTGACGGACCCACATACTAAGTTATCCACCAATCGACTGACCAACTGCTGACTAGAAATATGATTCATTTTACAAGTCTGTAATGTAAATTCTTCAGGTTTCCTAATTTCTTTGTTCCATCTTTCAGGTGTACGTGCGGATAAAAGATGACGAATGGAACGTCTATCGAAGATATTCGCAATTCTTTGAAATGCATAAAACGGTACGAAGTCTTCTTCTTTACATTTCCTGTAGAAAGCTTTCTCAAGTTCCGGTTCATCCAAACAGGCATGCTATGGTTTACCTGAGATTCAGGAAGTCTTTATAAGTCAACACAGAAGACCTGAGTGCCAACTTTCCTAGTTAAAAAACAAGATCTGCCTGCAGTCAAGAACATACACATAGTCGGTCTTAACCCGTTTCTTGGTAATATTAGTATTAGTATTCTCCATACTGTTCTTTATACATTTCCTAAGATGCGGGTGAGAAGAATTTGTTTAATAATCCAGAGCTTCTTAAGTTTGTGATCATTTCTTTTCTTTTATTCTTGTGGCCTTCTTACGGCCATACTGAACTCTATTCATTTCCTACGGTGTTGACAAGAAGAATTAGTTTAACAGTCAAGAGCTTTGGTCTTTAGTTTGCGATCATTTCCTTTATTCTTGTGGCCTTAAAGTGTGATTCAGGGGTGATATTGTAAGGGCAAATTGGATGCTAGTTACTCTCAGGGGGTCAAAGGGTCAATGGATTACTCCTTACCATTGATTGTCTTGGTAAACGATCGGCACCCATTATCTTCCCTGATAGAGACAGCCACTTGTACTACCGCGTGACCTGTCTTGTCGAACGAAATACCAGGGTTTAAACCTGGGCCGCATGTTAGGCGTGGCTTTCCGAGTAGTTTCAGACTGAACGGTCAGCCCTTTCATCTCGTATGAAATTCGGTGTGATAAAGTAAATTTCCAGGTGGGATGGGGGGGGGGGAGCTATCGTGTGAAAGATTTCTTGTCTGGAATTAGAAAAGAAAAAAAATTATATCTGAGTATGCTGCTATTTTCATTTAAATATGTTCGAGGTAATGAGAGGGATTTTTGGCTTTCCTCGCTGATTTCATGTTTTGCTGTTTCTGTAGCTGCGTCGGAATTTTTCTGTAGTTGATAGTTTCAAATTTCCACCTAAGAAGACGATAGGAAACAAGGTAAGTATAACGGAAGTCATCATTTTGTTTCTAGTGAATTCCACCTTTTTCCGTTTTTTCACTAGCGACAAGATTATCTCCTAAGGCCCTTTGAAGTGTTGGAGCTCAAAGGACTATTCAATTGAACAAATCCAAACTATATTTCAAGCATGCAGTTGTTATGTTACTTACGTACACATCTACATATGAACTAAACGCTGTCAAGAGATGGATTGGGAGTACAATATATTACAGCATACATAGAGCAATTCTCAATTGATTGTCGAGAGTACTTCGAGATTGTATTGGTTTTGTATTACTTCGCTCTGGGATTGGTCCAGAAAACTCGTGGCACTCTCTCAACCAATCAACTGCAAAACTTGAACGGATCACGACTAGTTCGCCGGCGTTTTCCCGCGCTTTTGACGCTCCACTCTCAACCAATCAGCTGCAAAACTAAAACCAATCACGACTTGTTCGCCGGCGTTTTCCCGCGCTTTTGACGCGCCACTCTCAACCAATCAGCTACAAAACTTGAACGGATCACGACTAGTTCGTCGGCGTTTTCCCGCGCTTTTGACGCGCCACTCTCAACAAATTAGCTGCAAAACTAAAACCAATCTCGACTTGTTCGCCGGCGTTTTCCCGCACTTGTGGCCGTCTGCCTGTTTTACTTTGAGTTCTGATTAGCTCTTCAGTAAAATTTTCCTTTCTTCTGATTGGCCTTCGTAAATACTTTGCTTTCAGTTTTACTACACTCGATCGAAGAGCACTCTCTAGTATTCAAAATTTTCTTTGCTTCTTTCTTTCGTATAGGATGCTCGGTTTGTGGAGGATCGTAGAAGAATGTTACAGGATTACGTCAGAAGAGTCGTGAATTTACACGTAACAACAAACCAGGAACTACGAAGCGACACCACGAAGACCACCCTGCTACAAATTCTCCCTTTCTTTGCGTAAGTAGCGAGCAACAACCTCTTTCTTCCTCATCAAGTTCTAAGGCTAGGAAGACTTACTGAAAGCACTGTTTATCATTGGGACTTCTGTAAACCACCTTTGTCTTTTAGGGCTCTTGTAAAGTGTATCCTTAAACATGTGTAATTTTTTTGTGATCAAACTATGGAAAAATGAAAAAGTGAAAGAGCAAGGTCTTTTCCGTCCC